TCGCGTTGCCCACCCCGAGACGGTGGACCGGGAGAGAGAGCCGCTACTCAACGAGGGGGTGTGAGCGTGTCGTCATGCCAGCATTAAGGACCCACTGCCATGATAAGCCTAACTAGTCGGTCGTTGGGGCATACTTTAAGATCGGACTGGGCGCCCGAGAACGAGACACGGTGGAAGTATGGATGTTGGAGAGATCTGTAAGGCCAGTCTTATTTTGGCGGAATTATGCACTCTTTTGTGATACCACCTGGAATTATGCAGTTTTTGTTAAGTGGCGTACTAATATGAAATTGCGTCGACCCACTTGGGACTGGGGAAGGTCGTATTGAAGACATGTTGAATACGTTTGATAATTTGATATTGGTAAAAGGAATAAAACGGATCATGAAGTTCCATGTACGGAGTGTACCATTCTATTTTAATAATCGTTTGATTATTGTTTCGATGAATTTCCCCCGTGCTGATGCGGACTGACATATGAGTCCAGCGTTGCCCTGACAACCACCAGCACCTCCACCTTTGTTGATGCAAAGCGGCGGATATGAACGGACTGGACGTGTTTGCCTAGTTGATCCTTTTTATTCTTTTATTGTCTCTTTCTTTTCATCTTGCTTGTGTGTCGAGCTCTGATATTGATATTGTACTCGCATTCCTCCGTTCCTCATACCTCAACTATTCTTGAATCAGACAGGTCCACACCCACTCTGACTTATCGAGAGACGGAGATTGATTCTGATCGTTTGTCTCATTGATACCCACCTCAGGTACCATACTATGAGGCAGTGAGTTCAATAAACGACACCCACATTCCACGTTCTATCATGAATCGTCATCCGCCATCCAATTACGGCGACGCGCCGCCAGCATACCTCAACCACGACACGGGTTCCTATCTGTCTGATCCCGAGTCTCCAACTAATGCCTCACGTCTTAATGGAGGAACGATGCGCTTGTTGCCAAGTGGTGACGGCGCTGATGACTTAGCTAGCAGCCACAGGGCTCCTTCGCCTTCCCATTATGACCCTGATTATGATCACACTCCGTATGTATACCCAACTACCTCTGATGCAATCTTGCCCGTTTTCACATTCCAATGGTTTCCCTCGCGACGGAACCATGTGCACCACCAAATCCAACTCCTTTATTGACGCGATGGAGAGGCTGGGAGAAAGCTTGTGCCTTGGGCAATTGTCCGCCAACGGGCAATGTTACTGGGCTCGAGCCAACTCCCTCCTGCTATTTGGTCGATCCTCCTCCACTTGAACATTAAACGATTAGTACTCTAGTAGTACATTGTTTACCGTGTCATCCCCCACTCCACCTCCCCTCCACATTGGCCCTCTTCCTGCGAGCTTCGGGGCAAAATGGAACGCCTTCCAAAACCAAGGTCTAACATCAGAGGGCGAAATTTTAGGACCGGACAGGACCAACGTTATGATAATTATTACGAGGTGCCCAGCATCTCTTCGCCTTCGCGTCCACCATCCAGCTTGGCCAGCGGACCCGGTATCCCGCCTCTGACAGCAAGCCTCGCAGACACTTCCGTCTACCCTTCTATTCCCCCACGCACAGGATCTCCAATTCGTCCATGGAGCCCCTCACACATCCGACCACCGTCTGTGTCAAGTGTGGGATATGAACGCGCCGATCTGAACGGTAGCCCGCGGCCTGGTACACCTAGCTCAAGATATGGGGGTAGCCCTCGTCGACCATTGCCTCCTGCGCCTTTGTTCTCTGGACCAAAATCAACAGTAGATACAAGCATTGATATTGGTGATGCCCATAGCGACGATCCATTCGGCGGTGACGGCCGCACAATCCACCACACTTCGCGCGGCAGCGTCCGATCATTCATGAGCGAATCCACAATGTTGGGAGATGAGAAGGATGGCATGTCAAAAGTCGACCTCGATGATGAATATGACGATGAATCCCACGTTCTGGATCCCAACCTTCACTATGGCCCAGCACCGGACAAGCAGGGGCGTCGCGGTGTCCGATCTAAGCAGGTCGCCAAAAAGGAAGTTCAGCTGGTCAACGGCGAGCTTATTTTGGAGTGCAAAATTCCCACCATTCTTCACAGTTTCCTACCCCGTCGTGACGAGCGCGAATTCACGCACATGCGCTATACCGCTGTAACATCCGATCCGGACGATTACGGCGAACGGGGATATAAGCTTCGCCAGCAGATTGGTACCACCACTCGTGAGACTGAGCTGTTTATTTGTATCACCATGTACAACGAAGATGAGATCGGTTTCACTCGTACCATGCACGGTGTCATGCGGAATATCAGCCACTTCTGCTCGCGAACCAAGTCGCGTACTTGGGGCCGTGATGGATGGAAGAAGATCGTCGTTTGCATCGTCGCTGATGGACGTAAGAAGGTCCACCCGCGTACGCTCAATGCATTGGCCGCCCTGGGTGTTTACCAGGAGGGTATTGCGAAGAACATCGTCAACCAGAAGGAAGTTCAGGCACACGTGTACGAGTATACTACGCAGGTCTCCCTCGATGATGATCTCAAGTTCAAGGGTGCCGAGAAGGGAATAGTCCCGTGTCAGGTTATCTTCTGTTTGAAGGAACATAACAAGAAGAAGCTGAACTCTCACCGATGGTTCTTCAATGCCTTCGGTCGTGCCCTTCAGCCCAACATTTGTATTTTGCTCGATGTTGGAACTCGGCCGGAGCCGACGGCACTCTACCACTTGTGGAAGGCATTCGACCAGGACTCCAATGTTGCCGGCGCTGCCGGTGAGATCAAGGCTGCTAAGGGTAAGAACATGCTCGGTCTGCTCAACCCTCTCGTGGCAAGTCAGAACTTCGAATACAAAATGTCCAACATCCTCGACAAGCCTCTGGAATCGGTCTTCGGTTACATTACTGTGTTGCCTGGTGCGCTAAGTGCTTATCGATTCTTTGCCTTGCAGAACGACGCAGATGGCCATGGGCCCCTCAACCAATATTTCAAGGGTGAAACTCTCCATGGTCAAGATGCAGATGTCTTCACTGCCAACATGTACTTGGCCGAAGATCGTATTCTTTGCTGGGAGTTGGTTGCCAAGCGAGAAGAGAGATGGGTGTTGAAGTTTGTCAAGAATGCCGTGGGAGAGACTGATGTGCCGGACACGGTTCCTGAGTTTATATCCCAGCGTCGAAGATGGCTGAACGGTGCTTTCTTCGCGGCTGTGTACTCGATTTTCAATGCCAAGCAGATCTGGAAGACGGATCATACTCTCGCTCGGAAGATCTTGCTTCACATCGAGTTCTTTTATCAATTCCTTAATCTGCTGTTCACCTACTTTGGTCTTGTGAGTTTCGCGCGCTCTTTTTTCTTTTGAACTTGTGCACTGACTTAATCCAGGCCAATTTCTACCTCGCTTTCTACTTCATTGCTGGCTCTTTGACTGATGAGAAGCTTGATCCGTTCGGTCATCATATGGGCAAATACATCTTCATTGTTTTGCGCTATGCTTGTATTCTGGTTATGTGTTTGCAGTTCATTATCTCATTGGGTAATCGGCCGCAAGGGTGAGTCTATAGTTCTTCATCATACATTGGACTTGACTGACATTTCTTTTTAGTGCCAAAAATCTCTATCTCTCTGGTATCATCGTGTACGCCATTATCATGTTTTACACGGTCTTCTGCACCCTTTACTTGGTGGTCAAGGAGTTACTCGCACGTACTGGGGTCAAAAGCGATGATAATATGGAAGTCGGGGACGGCCTAATGTTGAACATCGTGATTTCCTTGTTGTCAACTGTCGGCCTTTACTTCTACACATCATTCCTCTACCTGGACCCATGGCATATGTTTACCTCTTCGATTCAATACTTCCTCCTCATGCCCAGCTACATCTGCATCCTCCAAGTCTACGCCTTCTGCAACACCCACGACGTGACCTGGGGAACCAAGGGTGACAATGTGATCAACACCGATCTCGGCGCAGCAAAGACCATCAACGGCTCAACCGTTGTCATCGAAATGCCCTCCGAACAACTCGATATTGACTCCGGCTACGACGCGGCTCTCCGCAACCTCCGCGATCGCCTTGAGGTCCCAGAGCCCCCACCATCAGAATCCCAGTTGCAAGAGGACTACTACCGCGCCGTCCGTACTTACATGGTCTCCATCTGGATGGTCGCCAACGTAATCCTCGGCATGGCTGTGTCTGAAGTCTACGGTATCGACCAAGGTGGTACAAACATCTACCTCGCTGTCATCTTGTGGTCTGTCGCTGTCCTTGCTGCTATTCGTGCCATTGGCTCTACTACCTATGCCATCTTGAACGTCGTTCAAATGATTGTTGAAGGAAAGACGAAGTTCGATGCCGGTAATATGTCAAACTTCGCCCCGAGCTCTTTCGGTGGTTCGAGTACGGGTGCTAAGTCCGAATCTGGGGCGGGCTCCGCTCGTCCTGTGCGCTATGGCGGCGGTGCGTCCTTCAAAGATAAACTTGCCGAGGTTCGCTGGAGTGCTGGTAGGGCCGTTGGAAAAGCCATGTTCTGGCGCAAGTAGATGCTTGACATGATTTCTTTTTTCGTTTTCCTTTTTTTTCCTGTTCGGGATTGCCCATCTTGCTTGGCTTTCCTGGGTCTCGTGGAGTTCCTCTGATTTGGGTTTTATTTTGAGATATCAGGTGTTAGATCTTCCTTTTCTCTTTTATGATGGAAATATTGTCACGATAGTTCTCTTTTTTTGATTTTAATGCTCGTTGCTCTCACTTTCCAGAGATCTGGACATGTGTATTGATGGATGTACTTACGTGCTCTCTTTTGGGGGTTAGAATTAATGCACAGGATGATGATCCAAAAAATGTCTTGCAAATTTTAATTCCAAGTCTTCGATTTAAATCAGCGGTAATTTATGTGGAAAGTAATCAGTGATGATCTAGGCCTTGGTTTACTATTAGCAACTGAAGTTATCAATTTGATCCCGTCCAAATTATTTGAATTATATGCTATGCAATATGTACAGATATATAAGAGAAGCAAGGCCTAGACCTTCTCCTTCATAAGTCCAAGCTCCTCTTCGTATGTGCCATCACACGAGTACCTCAATTGCACCAGTGGCGCCAATCGACGAACAACAGGAAAGCAGAAGTACCCTATTGTACTTGCTACAAAGCCCATAAACAGTCCGGAAAATGCCCCAAATTTAACTGGCAATTGGACCGGCTCTTCACCGTAGACAGCAGCAGGATCATCCGGGACCAGCCCGCTAACCGACCCAGGCCAATACTCAGGTGGCTCAGTCCTTAACACCCCCGAAGCGCCAAGAACATTACCTTCGGAGTCCAACGCCTGAACAGAGACCCAATCCATAAAACCGCTGGCAATGAACGAACTCTCAAACCCATTCTTTGCAACCTCCCCAATCTCTCTGTCCACCGCGGTTGCATTCGCCCGCGCAAAAAACCGCCACCGTTGCACATCCGTAGCCCCATTCCAGCTAACATGGAACACTGTCGACAGAGCTGACCCATTCACCCCGTAACACGACGAAAGAAGCGTAGGTGCGTATACCGGCCGACTACGCCAGGGAAACTTATAAGCTCGGTAAGTACTGAACCGCTCGCTGGCGAAGCTGGCGTCCATCAGCAGCTGACCATCATGCGTGAACTCGCTCATATACCCGTAATAGCTCCACGAGACGAGCACGTTTGTATTCGATAGTGTCTGCATGTTTCCTCGAGCGGGATTCCTTCCCCGTCGGGTCTCATGTACCGATTTAGGACTCTGGCTTTCATAGTGAGCAGATCAAGCTCTACGTACATGGCCGACGAGGTTGGTTCGTTTACGGCCATGAAGGTGGCGCCGTTGTCCAGGAATGAAATGATGATGTGTGTACTATTCTGGGATACGAATCGTGCGCTGTGTTGGCCTGTGAATTGGAAGTCCATTTCGAAGTTGCTTTTTTTGCCGCCTAGTCGCCAGATTATTTGTCCGTCTTGGCTGGAGATTAGGTAGATCGCGTTTGTGTGGCGGGCCGAGATGAGGTAGTCCCCGTTTGTGCTTTTGTCGACTGAGTTCATGTGCAGATAGTCCACGTCTAGGAACCGGTCATTTGGGTTTAGGGTAAATGATTCGTCGAGAGTGATGTGGTCGCCAGAGAACCACTCGAAGAGGTATTTGCCTGTGTTGATGTCAAGCTCGATGAATCCGTTTGTTCGGATGCTGACTTGTCGCTCTGGGTGGCCAAAGTCGGCTAGAGTCATGTCTTCGTTTTTATGAGTGATGAGAAGGGCGTTGGGTGGTTCTTTTAGGTAGAATTCGTGGTTATCGATTGTGGCTCCTGGCCGGGGGACTGAGTGGACGAGTTTGTATTCATTATTGTATATTATGGCGGACCCGTCGCTTTCACGATTGGCAAAATTCTCTTGAACAAGCATAGTAAGATAGGGCTTTTCATCGATTGTGTCTACCACTTGAAAATCATAGACATTTTGGTTGTTGAATTCGCATGATCCAGCCCAAACAAGGTCCTTTATAGTGTGTAAGCGGATACATTCGAGATACAGCCGGCCTAAAAAATCCATACCCCTTTGTAATCGAAGATATAAGGACCAATCTGGCAAGGTGTCCATCGATTCGTTTTCGGCTCACCCTGATTGAGATGGTAGGGTGCAACGAACCAATAACCTGGAGCAACTTCCAAGTCAGGCCGATCATAGTAGGTGACATTCCATTTCAAGACCCGGTGTTGAGGGAGCTGGAGTAATTGTAAATCAGTATTTACCTTCGCATGAATTCCCGCTTGTGGAACCTACAGTAATGTATGTTATCATATCATCATCATTAGATGTGTCGAGTGCTATCACGGAACAAAGAAAAAGATACCAGAGCAATAGTGACATATCCGTGCGACTTTGGAAGTATAGCTCGACAAAACTACAGACACCTGACAGAGAAACAAGGTAAAGTGAAAATGTAATATAGCTATGGGTTGGGAATTTCCTTTTAAGAGGAGAAATATCACAGAAAATAAACACACGAGTCAGAATCGTAACTTCATATTTTCTTCTACAATTTCTAATTGGAAGCTTCAAATAATTTACGCCTTGGAAAAACGTGGAACCAGAGAACGGTAGAGTCAAAAATGAAGTCAAAACACCATTTCTCGATGAGATCTACCTAAAATCGTAGGTAGTCCTAACCCGGCGATTTATTAGCCGCCAGATCAATGACAACTCACTCAATGGAACTTCCAAGGTTTAGCGTAAAGCCACGGTCCGAGCCCCAAGGTGTAGCGGTGTAGGGCATTGGCTCGCTCGTGGCCTTATTTACCCAAGTTAGATTTTTATACAGCAAATCATGATCAGTAGGTGGCTCTGAACTAAAAATATCATCCACATGTAAGGAACACCTGTCTTCGTGGAGCGTCTTCGTGGGGTGTAGGGAAAACATACTCCATAAACGATAATCCTTTTCTGGTTAGTTCCCACTCCACAAAGCCGCTATCCTAACTTAGGACAACCGACGGATGAGCAAGCCATAATATGATTGGTTTGAAGTGATCTATGACCTGTGTACCTGGATACCTAAGTGAATTGAAGTGCTCAAGTCAGAGATTCGTATATGATAGTGAGTCCGGATATGGAACGCACTGTAAAGTTTGTGAGCTGAGAACACCAATACATTAGCTGGCGGTTAGGTGCCATAAGCGCGAGCTTGATTAGTAGTATTGGTAAACAAAGGAAAAGTGAGAGGTCGTGTCCGACCCCTGCTGCAATCCTTTGCAAGTCACACCTAGTAACATGTCCTAGATCCGAATTTTCCAATTTTTTCCCTCTAATTTATAGAGTCATCCGATCTAAGCCACTTTCTTCTTGGAAAAGTCCTCGCGTGCTCTTCGTTCTGGCGATCGGTGTCTCCCTTTTCTTTTGTGGGTATTTATCTTTGGCGGAGTTCACTCTATGGATTTCTTTGTCGCTATCTGCCTTTTTCTTGTCCGTGATCTTCTCGTAATCTCATAATCGCCTATATCTTTTGAATGGCAAGCCATGTCTGCTTTGGCCAGCAGCGCTTTCATAGCTTCTTCTAGCCATACCTTCGTCTAAGGATTAGGGTTGGGGGATTAGGGTTGAGGCTCTTCAGACGCAATTATTTGCGCTTACAGACTCTATTGTTGGCAAATTTTCCCGATATCCCAGACATTTTCGGAAGGACAATATTCACGGTGAAGTTCACGTTGTTCCTAGCAGATGGCTAGTTATTACTTGTTATTATACTATACTAGATATTCTGAAGTATTCAAGGTCCACACCAATCAAGATGTTCTTCATGTATAATACTAGCGAGCCCACGATATGATTTGACCATCGCTCATTATGTTACAAAATATCGGTTGATAGATTCTAGCCGAGGTAAACTATCGCACCTTTCCGCTATCATCTCGCCTAATTTCACTTCAATGGCGCAACTCCACCCTGATAAACGTGATATTTCCATAGTGATAACAATTATTAGTATATTATTAGTAGCCTAAAACGTCCAAATTTTATCTAGGACTGACTCCAAATAGTGATGCTTCAAAATGTGCGATACGAAGACCCTCACCCCGCATCACCGGTAAACACGGCAGTGTCGCATACAATACACGGCCAATATATTGACTGACTAATACCTTTGAGGGGTCCTAACTTTTTGTTGATTTCTTGGAATCCTAGCTACAGTCTTGATAATATCTTTGAACTTATTCAAAGCTATTAAACATGTTCTCAGAAAAGGGCAAGACGGCACCCGTTGATCCTGAGACCACAGATCTAGCACATATCACGGAAGATGAAGAGCCATCCGAAGTACACTCTACCTTTGCTGTAAAAGGTAAATTACACGGATGTCTCCAAGTTCTCGGTGCTTTCTTTATATTCTTCAATGTCTGGTCTGTCAACAACCTTCCGAGCTACAATTGAATATCAAAACTAACATCCCTCTAGGGGCCTAAATCTGTCCTTTGGAACATTCCAAAGCTTTTATGCACTCACCTACATCCCGTCATCAACATCATCCGACATCGCCTGGATTGGAACAATCCAATCGTGGCTCCTGATCGTCGGCGGCCTACTATCCGGCCCACTCTTCGACCTCGGCTACAACCAGACCATGATTATGGTTGGAAGTATTCTAGGTGTAACCGGCATAATGATGCTCAGTCTTGCACACGAGTACTACGCCATATTCCTAAGCCAGGGAGTCTGCGTGGGCCTCGGATTCGGACTGCTTTATGTCCCCGCCATTGCATTGGTCAGCCGCTCTTTCACAACAAGAAGGGCTGTTGCGCTAGGTATTTCGAGTAGCGGTGCGCCTGTCGGAGGTATTATCTACACTACCATGTTCAACCAGATTCTACCAAAAGTGGGGTTCCCCTGGACCGTTCGCCTTGTGGGGTTCGTGATGCTGGCGCTGTTCATCGCGGCTGCTCTTATGCTTTTGTGGCCAGAGAGACATTCAGTGAGGGTTAAAGTAACCCAACGTAGGAGCTTGATTGATCTGCGCGCTCTCAAGGATCTGCCTTTTTGGAGCTTTGCTATTGGGAATTTTTTCCTTTACCTTGGCTATATCACGCCTTTCTATTACATTCCCACTTACGCGGAGACGAAGTTGGGCACGTCGAGCGCAATGGCATCTAATGTCTTGATGATTTCCCAGGCTTCCTCGGTTGTTGGCCGAGTTGTCTTGACTTTATTTGCTCATTACTATGGGTCGATGATTGCTTGGATCGTTTGCGGTGTGCTCTCAGGCGTTCTGTGTATTTGTTGGATCAGTGCAGATAGCCTGGTACGGTTTATCCTTTTCGCGGCCTTCTATGGTAAGTGAAGTTCCTTTGCCAGGGTCATCGGTGCTCTAATTTTGACACAAACTATAGGTGGTATCTCCGGGGCCTTGATTCCTCTCCCGCCGAGCGTTTTCACTCACGTCTGTCCCGACCCCAAGAGTCTTGGGACTTGGCTTGGAATGGCGCAGAGCTTGAGTAGCTTTGCGACTCTTGTGGGGCCACCAATAGCAGGTGCGCTGGCTTCAATTGGTGCTGATGGTAGTGCGGACTTGAACTACCTAGGTATCCAATTGTTTAGTGGGATAGTCATGTGTTTTGGTGCATTTCAGCTGATCTTTTTATGGTATTTGCTATACAAAAAGAGGGGCAAAACAGGTTTATTTTAAAAGGAAAAGGGCCTGTTTATAGTCCACATGTAACTAACTGCTACCCAGGTCCTATCCGGAGCTTACGAAACTGACCCCGCTATTGGGTTAATATGTACTTTTTTGCTCACGTCTCAAATAAACAGTGCTATCTTTCGAGTTGAATCATATAGTTCGGAGAACCAACCTATCATAACCTCTAGAGTCACGGGACCTCGGGATTGACAACAAATCACACTAGCGTGAGTCACAGTCACTAGCTGATAGCTATCCAGAGAATAAAATAAAAAGGAAAACTCCCTCTCAATTCTCAACTAGCAACTCGAACAAGAAAGCTCAAACATGGCATCACTACGCCCAAAAGGCCCACTGGTCCCCTTCACCCCAGCTCTACTACCAACAAGCCAAACAATCCCAGGGCGAACAATTCTCCTAGAGAAACTCTCCCCAAAGCACGCTGACGACCTCTTCGCCCTAACGGGTGGGCTTGAACCACCCAGAGAGGCCCTATGGGACTACATGTTCGACGGGCCGTACTCAGACGCCGAAGCCTTCAAAACCGGCATTGCATCAAAATCCATTTCAACAGATCCATTCTTCTACGCAATCATCGACAAGCGCAACGCTACCCCCACTTTCGGGAAAGCAATTGGCTATCTCTCTCTGATGCGTATGACTCCCGACCACCTGGGCGTCGAAATCGGGAATGTGATGTACTCGTCTGCGCTCCAGCGCACAACGGGCGCGACAGAGGCTATATATCTCCTTGCTCAGCATGCTTTCCACGACCTTGGGTATAGGAGATTGGAGTGGAAATGCAATTCGCTGAATGAACCTTCGCGGCGTGCGGCTCTGCGCCTAGGATTCTCGTTTGAGGGGACCTTTCGGCAGCACATGATTGTTAAGGGGAGGAATAGGGATACAGCTTGGTATTCCATTTTGAGGGATGAGTGGGATACTTCACTAAAGGCTTCCATGGATAAATGGCTGGATCCTGAGAACTTTGGAGAGGATGGTGGTCAGATTAGGTCACTGCAGGATTTGAGAGCTGAGTTGGGTTGAGATGGTATGTGTGGTATGTTGGGACTAGAAAGTGTTTGTCCGTATTTAGGTAGTTGCACCTGGGCAGTCATCCGACTCATCCCTGCTCACCTATAGAGAGCGGATAGAAAACTAAACAGCTATCTTTATAGATTTCGTTTTGATGTTCACAAAAGCCCTTTATCCTTTATAGGATACCGTTAAGGCGCTAACGTATTTCACCACCGAGCCGCCCACACCACCCAACTTATTAATTGGAAATGCATTTCTCTCTACCAAAACGCCATTAAATTAAACATACTAAAATCATCTACCTAGCTAGGCATCTATTAAATCTATGCCCGGTATCTCTGCACCCACTACACCTTGGTGTAGCCCGCGTACGTGGTTCCAAAACCGGTTCTTCATGTATGCTGGGACCGGCATAGGGTGCTTCATCTGCTTCTACGAGCGTAGGAATCAATTGAGAAGCTTCTTATACTAAGAGGCTTTCTTTAGCGGGTATCTATCTCCGGGATCTAGTACTCTTTTGCTTCTACTTCTCGTTAGCGGCGCGTAATTCGCTCACTTCTTTCTCGAGAAAGGCGGCGGATTATATAGTGATCTAGTATGCCTTTAAAACCTAGGTTATAGCGGAATTGAGAGGACTTAGAGGGCTCCTTGATCTTATACGAAGCAATGCTTTAATTGACGATACTTGCTTTTATAACTAGATATAGTTCGATAGGGTTTTGGGGTCCCCAATTACTACCCCGGCTCGGAGGGGGGGTCGGGGTTCGAAGCTAGATATTAAGCTTTAAGATCACTCGGTTAGGTACAAATAGTACTAAGCCGGCTGCTACGAAGCTATTTTTAATCGTCTCCGATTTAAAAGGAGAGGCGGTCGCGTAAGGTTGTACGGGGTATGTCAAAACGGCGTGCCAATTCACGTATTGAGCATATTTCTTGATTTTTAAAAGCCTGGATAGCTAGTAAAATCCTACCCTCTTGCTCTATTAAATTCCTAGAGCTTCGAGAGCGAATTGGTGGCATGGTGGGTGGTTGAATTGACTAAGTGCGGTGGGCGGCTCGGGTGGTGTCACTGGTGTGGGCGGCTCGGTGGTCAAATACGTTATTGGAGATCACTGACGTGACTCCACAACTCCACCTGCCACCATTTAGCAGAGCTCGAGGGAGTCGGAGTAGAGGAAGTAAGATAAGGGTAATACTATAGAGATCAAGGGAGACCCCCATATAGACCATGTCAAATAGCCATGTGATGGATTTTGATGTGAGATCTTCATGAAATCCGAGATCCGAGATCGACTTGACCGATGTTCTCCGAGATCTGAGATCTTATCGAACTTGTCCGAGATCTTCAAGAGATCATATCGAACTTCACCATCAGAACCTCTCTGATTGGAAGATGTTCACATTCCCAAATTTCAACGAATAGCCGCAGTGCGGTTCATCAATCCCTATCCTTTAGCGGGTCTGCTTTTCGGCTGAGACAACAAACTCCCTCGTTCCTATACTTGTGTGCAGCCCTGCATTGACAAATAAAGAAATGATATCCGTTCACAGGGGCAAAATTGGCAACGTATAAATACCCACCAATTGCCCCAGTACATCGTCTGTTCGTTAAACCATTACCTCCTAATCATTCAACCCATTTCCCAAATGTCCACATCAGCAATGTCAACCAACGAAACCGCACCCACCAGAGAATATGGCTTCAACCCCAACCAAGGCGTCAATTGGGCCGACTACCTCACCTTCCGCCCGATCTACCCACCCTCCTTTTTTGAAAAAGTCTTCGCCTACCACTCCCAAAAACCCCAATCCACTTGGTCCCTCGCCCAAGACATCGGCGCCGGCTGCGGAATCGTCTCATCTAGTCTTGCGCCCCGCTTCAACAAAGTAATTGTCTCAGACCCTAATGAGGGATACACCGCACTCGCTCGCAGAGTCCTTGTCGAGGAATCTCGACTGCCCGAATCCAGGTTCCGGTTCCTGAAGGAAAGTGCCGAAAGGAGCTCTGTGGAATCTGGCTCAGTCGATCTGATCATGGCGTGTGAATGTATTCACTGGACAAGGCCGGAAATTGCAATTGCGGAGTTTGCACGGGAGTTATGTGCCGGTGGAACGCTTGTCATCACGCATTATAATTATCCGCGCATTGTTGGGAATGAGAGGGCTCAGGAGGCATGGGCGGCTGTTTGTACATTTTATGCGGGCGAGGTTCACGATCCGATGCTTGATCATGCGTTGAGGATCTTGAACTCTGGGACGCAGGCTCTAGGATTCCCTGTGGAGGATTGGGAAGGGGTGAAGCGGTTGTATGTTAACGCTCGGGGGAGTATTGAGGCTTTTAGAATTAATGATCGAATTGGTGAGAGTCAGGTTAAGGATGGGGAGGAGACTGTTTGGGAGGAGGATGATGCGGACTGGATGGATGAGCAGGACTGTGACTGGTTTAAAGGCTATGCATCTACCTGGACGACGCCGAGTGTATCCGAGTCGGACATTAATCCGCTTTGGGATGACATGGAGAGGGCTTTTGAAGGAAAGAAGGTGAAGACTGCCACGCCAGTTGCTATGGTCTTTGCTACGAAGAGACATAACTGAGGGGTGAATATGTGTTAAAAGTAAAATTAATATATGCAATTAATCTCCATTCCCAAGTCAAATCTTCAAGTGCTTCTTCTCCCTAACAATCTCCTCGACAATCTTCGCCGCTGCTAGGGTCTCTTCATCCTTGAATCGTCTGCCAGCAATCTGCAGCCCCACAGATGCGCCCTCATACTTCTCCGGGTCCTCGTACTTACGCCACTCCCTCTCATCAACCTCATCCCGGGGAACATACTTCTTATCCTGCTCCGTCAACACATCTACCTTTGGATCCACAGTAATTCCAGATGGGAACACCACAGAAGGCAGATCTACTAAGTTCCAAATAGCAGTATAATTCCAATACTGCGACTCGCCCATCACTGCCGCGGCAGCGGGATATGTCGGGGAGAGAATAAACTCAACACCACGACGCTTAAGAAGAGCGTGGTACTCGTCTCTGTAGATATCGCGCTGTTCCTGCAAGGCCCATGCCTCGGGGTGGGAAAGAGGTGTGCTTCGGCTATAGGAGAGAGCCCAGTCGGTTAGTGGGCGTAATGGCTCGCCTGACTGCGCAATAACCTCGCGTTGCTTGCTGGCAGCATCGGGGTAGTATAGAGCGGACTGGGCCATGTTAGCGTTCTAGCGTGCATGACCAACGCAGTGCATGACCAACGCAGATTCAGCACTCACAATAACTTCCCAACCATGTTGGTGCTTATACGGCTCCCAGTCTACGACTTTCACGCCTGCCGCTACCAACTTCTCCTTGGCCAGTCTCAAAGCGCGAGTGATAGGTGGATGGGGGCGGACGCAGCTAGGAAATGGATTAGCACACTGACAACAAACATATATTTGGATCATGACGCACCCATCGTCCCACATAATAGCCACAGTCATATCCCGTGTCGGAGCAACCGTCTTCCATGGCACAGGCATCAGCGACATCTCGATCTCCCAAGGCTCCTGCTCTAATACAGCTCTCTGGAACAGCTCGAGGTCCTCAATCGAGCAACTAGCCAACGGACCCACCACTCCGCGGATAGTTTCCTGTCCGGAAGCAACCACTTTGAGTCCCGTTACAGGGTTCCGCAGTGAGGAAGGACGGAAGCCGTATGCACCGCAAAACGATGCGGGGCAGCGAATTGATCCGCCGATATCAGTTCCAATCCCTAGTGGCGCGCACCGGAAGCCCATTGATGCGCCCTCGCCGCCAGAGGACCCGCCTGGACTTAGAGTGCGGTTGAGTGGGTTTAATGTTGTGCCGGTGATGTTGTTGCTGCAGCATAGGTGCTAGACGGCGTTAGTTATGAGGTCCACCGGTAAGGTAGAATTTATGGACATACCATTAATGACTGGGGCTGGTTAGTCCGGACATGGAAGATGGCGCCGGCTTTGGATAGGATTTGGAGGAGAAGGGCATCTTCCGTGCTGACTTTATCAACCCTGTTGCTTGTCAGTAATATCGGTTTGTCGTGGTAGAGTTCTACTTACCAAGCTACATATCCCGTGTTGCATGTCCTGTTCTTCATACCTATGTGCTCTTTTACACTGATCGGTATTCCATGCTGTGGTTTGTTTCATTAAAACCTGCCGGTATAAACTTTAGGCATGTATATGAGCTTACCAGAGGCCCGACCAGTTTCCCTGTGCGTCTGTAGTACTCGTCATGTTCTCTGGCGCGAGTGATTGCCTCGTCTGCCATAAACTCTGTTGCGAAATTGAGCTAGTAAGAATGTCAACGCTGGAATTACAAAGGCAGAGTCTCTTAGTCTCACCAGTTGGTGGCCCAACACAGCCCTCTTCAAGAACGCAACCACCACTTCTTCCGCACTCAGTTTTCCATCGCCCATTTCCGTTACCAGTGCGGTGGCCGACATCTCAGTAATAAGGAGCTCGCGCTCATTCAACAACCCGCTTTGCTTGGGGAAATCAACCACACTCTTTTGGGAGACTGGTGGCAGCCTATCCACGGGGAGAAGCCATTGCTTCGGAATGGAATTGTTTAAGATATCTTTGCCCTTTTGGGCTTGGCTCTCCCAGTTACGAGTCATGTTGAGTGATAATTGAAATTGAATATGGGGGTATACTGGTGGGTTTGAAGGGTAAACTTGGATATGAGAGGAAGGAAGAAAGATAAACACACTCGTCTTATGCACTTCCCCGCACACAATCTGTGTGACATGGCTATCTCGGAATCGGAACTTCTTAGACCATGACCTTTCCTAATGGTCCCTGCATGGCAGATTGGAGATCTCTTATCTGCGGGACGTCTTGCTGATTACATGGAATGGATGCGGAGTAATTCCGTTCTGCCTTTGATAGGCAAAATACTTTCGTACGCCTTTATATATCTCTCTAATCTTGACCAAATCAAGGAAAAGACTCTAAACATTGATGGGTTACCTGCATATCTAGGTAGGGCTCACCCCCGGTATACTGTTGACCCCTATTAGGTCCTGATCTTTATATTGATCATTGTATATTTATAGCTATACATATCTACGCGACATAGTCACGTCCACCCATAGGTAAATATACAGGTCCCCTGGATGTTGAAAAAATTTAATTTTCTTCTTTCTTAAAGACACGAGGGATCAAGAAAATATCAAAAATTGCATCATGTCGGGGGATATATCTGGTTTTAAGCACGTCATGCCAAGACTTGCTTCTACGAGAGGAATTAATTCTCTAACATGGAAATCATTTGTCAATGAATCACTTTCAAATCTCACCAGGCTATTATTTGCACCCAGTCAAGCTACTTCAAGAGCGCAGTCTGTGGCGGTTTCAAGGTATAATCGAGAGAAACCTTGGCTGATGCATTTCGGTTGCTAACAGGAAGATAATCCAGAAACCATTGAACGTGTTTTGTCCTTCCTTTACCTTCGGGAATATAACGAGGCGCCCAATCCAGAGGATAAATCGAACGATACAGAACCTAAGGAAATTCCTCTCAATAATATAGAAGTATTTATCACGGCTGATAAATTCGGAATTGAGCCTCTAAAGTCCCTGGCTACTCAAAAGTTTTCTCGGTGGGCAACTGCAAATTGGAACTCTCTAGTATTTCCCGACGTCGCTCATGAAGTCATGAATTCAGTGCCTTCACATGAATCAAGCCTACGGGAAATTATTGTCGATGTCATCTCAACGCATATCACTGATCTCATCGAAAGACCAGAGATACTTCATCTCTTGGACTCTTTCGGGTGCCTTGGGTCACTGACCATCGCGAACCTAGTCCAGAATGGGCTGGTAAAACATCCAAAGGAAAACGACGTTTTTAAGATATTTACTCAGAAACTCATCTCTTTCGCCGAGTGTCGAAAGTGTTGCACGCCATTTGATGTAGGATTGAAATTTATAGAGTATGAAACGGGGGTTTTCCGCTGTGCTTCTTGCGGTGCACGACACTGACGAAAGCGCGCTATTACAAAAGCTAGTTCCATTTATGAGTTATGTATGGCTGTACACTGATATCTCGAGATCATGATAGATATTACATGCACAAAGTCTAAACCTACCATTAGCATTAGGGTTTTACTTTGGAGCGGCCGCTGTCGGCCACCATGCCTTTTCAATTCTCACGATGCCTTTGGTGATAGAGGAACAAGCAAAAGCAATGGGAATGGACAAAAGGTTCTCTGCACTTCTTATATGGGGGCCACCGCTAAACCCGCTGGAGAATAGCCTTGCAACTAGGGAGGTTCCAAGGGTAAATACCGTGGCCAACCAAGGCGTTTGACAGGTTGGATTTCAAAGCAATATATATAATATCCGGAGTACTCCCTCCGTACATGTCAATTCACTAGTAAATGAAATACCTTTTTGGAATAAAAGGTCAAATGCAATTATTAATCTTTCTAACCCTCCCTCAAGGTATATCTAATTGATATGCCAAGAGCCAATGACACTGATAGCGACATTCTGGAAAATGAACCAATCACTACTTGAAACAGGCATTTCAAATAGATTAATATTCACTCAATAATTTTGTTATTGAAAATACACAAAAAGAAAACATAAAAAGAAAATATAAAAAGAAATCTCTCCCTCGGGGAATCGAACCCCGGTCTCCCGCGCTTATCGGTGTTAATGACAAGCGGAAATCATCACCACTAGACCAAGGAAGATGCGATGGTCGAGTTACTGCTCGACCACTTGGCTGGTTGATGGAAGGAGGTTGCTACCTTGACATCATGGACATGTCCTCATTCTATCCACAGCATGTCAACTGCTCACACACCGTCCCGCAGATAACCTGGCACCGAGGAGATTCATGCAACACCTCGTCAACTTCCCCCGATAGCTCGGGCTGCAGTGTAATTGAGTGGATTCCATAGGCGTGGAAACACTCATTGATCACGCGCGCTGTCTTCATAAAATCCTCGACCGAGTCCTCAGACACGACAACGTGCACTGAGGCGAGGGTTTTTTGTTGGTTGAGGCGCCAGATGTGGAGTTCGTGGACTGAGTTGACGCCCTTGATCTGGTGATTGTTAGGGATAAAAGAAAATAGAATGATGAAGGTGGAGGTGGAGGAATTACCTTCTCTAGGTCGTGTTGAACATCGCACATATCAACCCCTGTAGGCACGCTCTCTAGCAGGATCATCCCCGCCCGGCGCACTGAATTGTGTCAGCTCTATTTCCCTTAACTGCCTTCTGTTGAGAAGACTTACTCAGAGGGAAAGACGATAGAATGATGAGGATGGCAATGAACATGCTCACACCGGGATCGGCGTAGTATCGGCCGGCATGGGGTGCAGCGAGCCAGATAATCAGACCCGCGGCCATGACGCCCAGGTTATTGATTGCATCGCCGATAACGTGGATCATCACTCCCATCATACCTAGATCACCGTGGTCGTGGCCACCATGACCATGACTATGACCGCCTGTGTCTGCGCAGTGATGTTTTTCGAAATGAAGATGTTTGTGATCGTGATGCTAATCTGTGTCAGTTGCTCTCGATTAATTGCATTCCTCAAATTTTCGCAGCTTACTTTGGTGCTAGAGTCATGGAATTCTTCGTCAATAGGAAGAACCGGTGTCTCAATTGTGGGCGATGGGCTATGGTCATGACTGTGTTCATGTTCATGTCCATGTCCATGTTCTGGGCATCGTTAGCGTTATACTTAACAACGACCTCATTAACCGTACCGTGAAGGAAGACTGCGCTGATAATATTTAGGCCCAATCCGATACACCCAATGATGAACATCAGCTTGGGGTTATGAACATCTAGATGCACCGTCAGTCATGGCCAGATAGGATCAACATCCAGTCAGGGCGATGGCACCGACTATGTATAGCAATGAATCGCTCAATAGACTGCAAAAATATACTAATGCCCAGTCCAAACAGAAGAACACCATTGAAAAAGGCACCGAGCAGCTGAGCCCGCTGCCAACCAAAAGTAAGCGCCTTGGGCGACTCACTGCGTTCAGATTTCTATATTTCACATCAGCACCACGACGCATCCAAAGGCCAAACCACACAGTACCTTCAATGCAACAAGGGCAATGATAAACCCAACTAAATCATTCAGCTGCAATGTATATTAGCCAACAAATCTCCCGACTCCACACCCGAAAACGCTTACATAGTGGAAAGCATCCGCAATCAGAGAAATAGAGTGGGTATAGAACCCGACTAGCCCAGTATCAGTACATCAATTCCATACCAAAATCACTACCATCACAAGCAAGATAGGGTAACCGACCCGAAATCTCAGCTAGAAAGAAACATGTCGATATACCAATCACAACGCTCAGCCGTGTTGAGCGTGATAGATGAACCATGACTGCGGGGATCCAATAACAGAAGAAGAATTGAAACAGAACAAAAATCTAGGAACGTAGCTTGCCATTGACGAAAGGGACATTGTTCGCTGTGAGATAGTGAACACCTCTGTCGTCCACTCTGGTTCAAAAAGCAAGGGCTGGTGCGCTATTCCTGCCGTGTAACTCTTCGCATTGAAATGTGACCGGTAGCTCCGATAAGGTATGTAAATGACATGGTATGCGGGATCTTGAGTATTAAAGAGAGATTGGGTGATTTATTGGACTTAAGTGCTTCAATGTCTCTGTAATGGTAGTATACCATTGTTCATGGCGGTTGGGGTATGTTGTATGGGAAGGGTTAGGGTTGGGCACAGGTACTAAGGGCTAGAGCTACATGAGCTCAAAAGGATCTGCCAGAGGACACTGACAGCCTGGAATTTTCCCCAGCCCTACATGAGCTTGTGGATCGAGATTGTATATTTCGCAGATCAGCCGATGAGGAATGCAGACTTGTTTACGCAGTGTATCACAACCTTGAATATTAGATGAAATGATTCAACCCTCATTAAAAACAAAAAAATTAAACAATCTTTATACAATTTTCATGGTCACATCCAATTCATTTCAACACAAGCACCAACTCAAGCAGCAATCTGGTCAGAAAGTCCATCCAGCTCACGCGCCCAGTTACGGTGTCGAGAAATATGCCAAATAAACTGCTCAGCCAGACCCTTCGCATCAGGCCCGACCGTTCCGACCTTCAACAATGAAACCGCATCCCCATAGCCCGTAATAACACCATACGACTCCTTGAGCGGAGAACCACTCTTCGCAACCTCGACCTCAGAAAGCCCGATCTGCCTCTCAATAAACGGCACAGCCTCGTTAGCACCAGCAATAGCCTTAAGATGAGCAAAAGCCTCGGAGATCCAGTGCTTGAAAACGCCATTTTTCGACAGCGCCTGGATATGTTTTCCGCCAGGCACGTAAACGGCATCGAACAGCGTCGACCGCGCCCCAGAATAGAAGTGATCGGGGATAACTTTCTGTCCAGACTCGGCAGTCACACCCTGACGCTGCGCGCCGATCGTGAAGACAAATGCCCCGCGCTCGCCAAGCACTTCTTTCATCGTGGTATACTGATTGAAGTCGAAGCCATCGGCAAGCAGGATAGCGATACGGCGCGTCGTGATGATGGGTTTCTCCGGCATGTATTCAAGTTGGCTCAGACCCTTGGCCTTGGTGCCCTTGTTTTCCTTGAGGGACTTGGCGGGTGTGTCGCCGCCGACATTCTTCGCGACGGTCTTGGCTAAGTCAAGATCAATTGCTGATAGACGCTCTGTCATGCGCTTGTAGACGACAGGATCATCGCAGTGGTCTAGCTCGAAGGAGAATGCCTTCGCCACGTGCAGCTTTTCAATCGGTGACAGCGAGTTGTAGAATACCTGCGCCTGGTTGAAGTGCTCCTTGAACTTATCTGACAGCGCGCGCTTCTTCGCGCCTTGCTGCTTCTGCGGGTAGGTGACGAAGCCGCCCTGCTCTGCTGTCGCGGGCGGGTTGGCTTCGAATCGGTTCGGCCAGTAGTTCACCTTGCCCTTTGTGATGCGGTGTCTTCCCTGGCCGTCGCGGTTGACTAGACTCATGTATGGACATACTGGCCGGTTGATAGGAAGTTCTTCCCAATTTGGTCCGAGTCGCGAGATCTGCGTGTCAAAGTATGAGAAGTTACGGCCTTGAAGCAGAGGATCATCGGAGAAGTCGATCCCCGGCACGATGTGGCTCGTGCAGAATGCGACCTGCTCGGTCTGAGGGAAAAATTCGTCGACGTTGCGGTTGAGCTCCATCTCGCCGATATAGCGGATGGGAACTAACTCCTCGGGCCAGACCTTCGTGGCGTCGAGAGGGTCGAACTCGAAGTTGTCGGCCTTTTCTTCGGGGATGAGCTGCAGGCCGAACTTCCATCGTGGGAAGTGTCCTGCCTCGATCGCCTCCATTAAATCTTTCCGGTGGAAATCGGGATCCTGGCCGCCGATCTTCAACGCTTCATCCCAGACGAGCGAGTGTACGCCAAGCTCTGGGGTGAAGTGGAACTTGACGAAATGGCGCTTGCCAGCCTTATTAATCAAGGAATAAGTATTCACGCCGAATCCCTGCATCATCCGGAACGACCGCGGAATAGCTCTATCAGACATAATCTACCATGAACCGTGTCAGCAACCACAACCCAACGAGGAAATAGAAATACTAACCCACTGGTTCATATGCGTAACTTCCGAGTGCATATACTGGAAATCCCAGAAGTTATTATGCGCAGACTGACCCTGCGGCACCTCATTATGCGGCTCGGGCTTAACAGAATGAATAACATCAGGGAACTTGATCGAGTCCTGAATGAAGAAAACAGGAATATTGTTCCCGACAATATCCCAATTGCCCTCCGCGGTATACATCTTGATGGCGAACCCGCGCACATCGCGCACCGTGTCCGCACTGCCCTTACTACCCTGCACAGTTGAGAACCGCAGGAACAGGGGCGTCTCCCGGCTGGTATCGGTCAGGATTCCAGCAGTTGTTACGTCCGCAGCGCTCTCGTATAGTTTGAATTTACCAAAGGCGCCTGTTCCACGTGCGT